GGAATTTATTTTTTACAGGACATGTAAGACGCAACTTGTATAAAGAAGCTGAAAGTACAAAGTGCTTACAGTATGAAAGGTTGGGGATTTATTTTTTATTGCAGCAGGATAAAGTTTCTCACTGTATGCTCTGGCCTCGGCCAATTGAGGGTGCTATTTCCTATTTTCTGTCACTTCTTTCAAGCATTTAGTTTCAAAGGAGCTATGTGAATCAATGTAACATTACCATTGTTACTGTTGTTACATAATAATGGACACTTATTTGCTGTAATCGCAGCGTTTGTTGATTGCTTTGCAACTATTATCGCAAGTGTGGTAAAATTTTACAACTCTTAAAACAAATCTCCAAACTCGTCACATGTGTAACACAGCCTATCTTTTATTCAAAACTTGCCATTGTGCATTCATTTGGATTGTCAACATGTCTCACCGCACAACCATTGATTCAAAATATAAGTTTCTCCTGAAATGTCATGAGAACACACTGTATGATTTAATCACCAAAACACAACATAATGATATATTTTCAGTTTAGTCATTTTAACAGTGAATCCAACAACAAACAATGCAAGACACATGTTTCAAATCACCTTAGAAGTGCCGAAAGTAATACACAGTATACTGTAAAAGACAGATCACACAGTTTTTACATGAGGCAATACACTTCCCCAACACTTAGAGAAACTATCATTTCCATGATATCTATCCTAAATGTAATCAAGTTGTGATCAATGAAGACATCCTCTACAATCACTGATGTAAGAACAAACCTTTACTGCATTTTACAGTATTGCAACATATCGGCTTCTTGAACATTTGAACATATCTGATCAAATGTAACAAATGCTATAACAATAATTATGGATGGTAATCATGTAGTCTATTTCACAGTATTGTATTGTACATGCTGTTATCATTGCAGTGGTCTATTTGTTACAGCACTAGTACTGTAAGCTACCAACACTAAGGTTGTAGGTTTGAATCCCACTAAGGTCACAGACAGTAAAAAGATCACGCCTTATGTTGGTGATTCTGAAGTTTTGAATCTGAACATAGTATCAGGCAAAATAAACAACAATACATACATGCAAATGTTTCATCGATGATCAATTAGGAACAATGTAGACAGTAGAAGGTATTTTACAAAAGAGAAGAAAATCTTTTCTAAAGTTGTACATTTACTTTGTATGAACATAGTGTACTTCAATGTTTTTTTGATTATCTGTTGTTTTTGTACTAAGAGTGGCAAAATATTACCACATACTTGTGAGAATAGTACCAGAACAGACTGTAAGGGCTGAATTTAGAAGAAATCACACTGGGATTAGACTTAGAGGCTGTTTTGTGAACTTACAGTTAAACTACAAAACTACAAAACAATATCATGAGGCGTTCAACTTTAACTGCACCTGAAAAAATAACTATAACAACAAAAAACATTAAAATTAAATATTTTACTATTACAGTGTACATGTAAGAAATACAGGAGGTTTACAAAATGCTTTGCTGTGAAACTGGGTAGCGTTTGGTGCCCTCCAATGAAGCCACACATGTGCAGAATACAGACACACATGCAGCCTGTAAACATTTTAATACTTCCTCCTGGTCTTCTTGGTTTCCGGGCGACTCTTTCCAAGTCATCTAGTAAGGGTTGTCATGGTTTCAGGATTAGATACACAGCTGTTGCACCTTGATCAGATAAAACCACACACACACACACACACAACTTTGTCTATGTATTGTTTTATTTTTACCCTGTTTACTGATTTTATTGCTTCAAGTATGGGAGCTGCGAACTTAATCTCATTGTACTTGTGCAATGAGATTAAAGATATTCTGTTCTATTATTGTCTACAGTGTGTTTCTAACAGCACCAGCCACCACCAGAGGGCACAGCAAACTGCAGGTCACAATCTGGTCCAACCTTTGCTGAGGTTTCTTATGCAAGGCTTTTCCTGAGACTGCCTCCCTGACATTACTGCTCGGCAGTCACGTCCACATGCAGCTAGGGGAGAATAGCCCGTCACTAATAAACATCTTTTAAAGACCCACCCCTCTGAGACTCAAGTTTTAAACAGCAAATGTGTTTAATTAAAGAAACTCATGCTTTCCCTGAACCTACACTATTGTGCCATGATATCCCTGTCCATAAGGAAATTACCAAAATAAGGTAAAATAATCTATCCTGGTGGGCCAGCTGCTTCCTTCCCTTTTACCTACTTGGACCTGCTGATCCATGAGGAATATGGGATTCGAAAGAGGATGTGATTTAATCACATTACTGCTTGATCAGCCCTGCCTGAGTCATAGTCCTTGACTTCTGGCTTCTAAATGAATCACAGAACCATGGGGACAATTTGAATGTCACCGTGATTTAATCATGCTTGAATCCTATCCAGTCAAACAACAGGTTACACACAAGCCTTTCCCCAGGCAGTACCACCATGTTGCTTAGTGACTGTCAGGATTTTCAGGGACTTAATGTGAAATGAAGGGGATTGGCTTCGGAGCTAAACCAGAGCTGATTTCACTACGAAGTCTGAGAGATAAGGGCCTAACCTTGTTTGTTTTACCCACCTTATAATGTACCTCCCTCTCCTGTACAGTGTGTTTATCACATCTGATTACTGTAAGAGCCTGAAAATAAATGCTTTGAAGAAGGAAATAATCTGTCGAACAGACAATATTTCCAGAAACCCCTAATACAAGTGCTGGATACATTTTCTATTAAGTATAATTTAGATTAGGGAGTTCACTTTATGGTGGTGGCTACAGCTTTCAAAAACCTGTTAACTGAGCTATGAGAAATCTCCACTTCCTGCCAGTCCAACTTTTCCTTTTAATGGAAGAGAAGAGTTGGATTGTGCAGCTAATAGATATCTTGTGGTTTCTTCATCTCCATGTCTCATGATTTCATGGAACTGCATCAGACTCACGAAACCCATGACATGGCTAAAACCTCTTCTCTCCTCTCCTGTAACTCACTGAAACACATGATGTTTGAATTTCGGGAGACGGTGTGTGTGTGTGTGTGTGTGTGTGTGTGTGTGTGTGTGTGTGTGTGAGAGAGAGAGGGAGAGAGAGAGAGAGAGAGAGGTGTGTGTGTGTGTTTGTGCATGTGCTAAATAACACAAGGATTATCACATGACTCACATGGTTGACATAAGTAAAGGCCTGGTACAGGATTATCAAGGGAGGAAAAGAGACAGAGAGTGGAAATGTTCTTCATGAATGAATGTGTAATGTCACTTGGTATTAGGATGTATTCTACTTAGGTATTATAATAACTCCATTGAGATAATAAACAGTGAAACAACATAAAAAATAGAGAAAAAATAGGTCTGTAATATTTGTTCATTCCAATTTATGTGTGCATGGATAATATATCTGCCTCATATTGTTGTATTATTAGAAACTTTATAATTTGACCTCACATTACGCTAATGTTTGAATGGACCGGCCTCATAACTTGCTGATCCGACTGCAGCCTTTGCTGTTATTAAAATACCTCAGGAGACTCACAGGGGTGCTGCTAGGGCTCTACAGGCACCTCATTAAGAAGTTTAATCTTACCATGATTTAATTCACCAAAAATACTCCCACCAGTGTAAAGAAAATCCATTACAGTAATTCACTCTTCCTTTGGACGAAGTTGTTTCAAACTGTGGTGCATCAGTTTCACTAGTTGACACAAACCTTAAGGCAGGTCCTGCATTATTTCATTTCTTGTCAAAAATGTACATGGTGACAAGGTTATTCCTAAATTATAGGTCTGGAATGTATTTGTGTTTAAAGACATTATCACTGACAAAGGGGTATTAACAAATTATTTATACAGCATTTTCAAAATAAAAAGCTTTAGTGTTTATATGGTTGAACCAGGTTTAAAACATAAAATACACAACAATAATATGAGATAAAAACAACAATAAGACTAAGAAGAAATAAAACAGTGTGCTTGATATGGCTGGGCAATAAAACAGTAATTATCACAATAAAATCTAAGTATCTATTTAAAAAAAAAGTTCAATAAATGTTCAAGTATTTGGAATCAAACAAATTAGCACTTAAATTTTCTATTAAGATATAAATGTTTTTGAGGAAAAGGAACTGAAAAAAAGATTTTATTTAATTTTACTCATGCATATTTGTTCAACAAAGATTTTATCAAAATTGTTTTGAATGTTCTACCACAGATTTGACATCAAGTGTTTGTCTTGTTTTGCAATATAACTGAGAGCTAATCCACAAAGTGCTTTAACTGTAGGCCTAATCAGTTAATTCTTTAAATATATTTTTAAACGTACCGGTAACCAAAGATGATGGGCCTAGTGGCTGGTTATTTTGCCCATAAAATAGAAATTAATATTTACATGAGAGTATAAAAAGATTGTTTTTGTTTGTTTTTTGGTAGATAAACATATAACTAATTTGAGTTCAGGGATTCCCTTCCAGTGTGTTAAAGCTACATTAGGTTAATAGTTACACCTTCAGTAATCTGGAGCATCACACTTGTTACAGCACGTTTATCCCCCTAGTATTATACTATTTTTGCACTGAGTCTATTTCTAGGGGAGGGGGAGGAGCCTGGGTCCAGCTGCTGTTATTTTTGCCCAGGGTATGTTGTGCAGACATTTGTGTTTGTGCTGATCCTGTGCAAACGGTGTTAGCATAATGGTCAAATGTCCAGTGTTACTGTAAATGATGCTTTGACAACACCACACAAGGTCCTGGAAAACATACTAGGGATACTGGTACAGCTATGCTTTACAACCTGTTGTAATGTGACAAATAAATCTACCTTGAACATTGTTAACTTTGTAAATAACAACACTGCAAGCTTTTGTTGACCTCCTGTTGTGTTTTTCTTCGCTAAACAGACTTCAGTAATGCGGCGCATCACACTTGTTACAGGGTTAACCCCCTAGCACTGAGTCTGAAGGAGGGGGGAGGAGCATAGGAGTGGATTTGGTGACGTCACCGAGCCAGCGCCCCTGCGCACCACCGAAGTTGGAACACGCGCTCGCCCACAGGGAAGAAGAAGGACCTCCAGACGTCAGTTGATCATGGCGTTGAGCTGGAGAGCAGTCGTCAGTCTACAGAGGAAAACAACTGCCGCCACGGCCACAGCGTGTCTCTGAAAGTCAGCGACGTATTACAGAGCACATTAATCTGCGTCTCATCTTTTTTCTGCTGCCGCTTCAGGGACTCAACGTAACGTTACGCCGAAGAAAAGGGAAGCTGCGGAGCGGAGTTGACAGCTACCGACGTTACAGGCTTAACTAATGTTTACCTGGACTATTTGACCACGATATGTCTCAACCCTCTTCAGCCAACTAACAGTAACGGAAGCGGTGTGAGCTAGCAATCGATCCTGTCAAGCACTCGGGCTATTTGGGTTAACTCCTCGTGCACTCAGACCTATTAGCAAGTCGATAATAACACAACATGATTCAGTGAGCCGTTGGTCCTTATTTGCTGATTGTTAGTCAGCTCAGCTAATAGCTTAAACCTAACTCACCTAAGGGGTGTCAGTCATATGCATATATAAGTTTATATTGTTTTTATACTCTGCTTGTAAAGCGTTAAGGAAATGTCAGATAACCAGAGCTGGAACTCCTCCGGTTCCGAGGAAGATGTGGAGCCTAAAGAGGAGCCTGGACCTCTTGTTGGTATCGTCGACTTGAGCGGAGTCCTCAGTAAAGTAAGTCACGTTTTTATTAAACTGAAAAAGTTTACCTAGCTCTGTTATGCTTTAAGCACTGCCAAGTGCTTAAAGCATAACTGCCAGGGAGGCGTCTGTCTACATATCACGTTAAAATTAGGCAATCTGGTAATTTGTGACAAATCATGGCATGTCTTTATTAGGGGAGGGAAGGACAAACCTGAACCTTTTACCGTCAACATTGCCTCATACCTGATCTGCAATGAGACCTGTAATCCCTACTGATGCAAGAGGGAAAACCCATAATGAAATTGAATAGCTTACATTAGCCCAAAGACCATCTACATTTTTATTAAATTAATTTACTGTGCTAATGGATGAAGGAAAGTGTATAGCTCATTCCAGGTTTATACATGCGACAATGAAATATCTGTATTTTAATGTTGTTCCAGATTGGATCACAGTTATGAATATGTTTTCACAATATTGTTATCATAACATGAAATGATTAGGTCAGCTTGTACTAGTACAAGTAAACAATGCTTATTAAATGAGCGTAGTTTGTAAATAACAACACTGCAAGCTGTTGTTGACCTCCTGTTTTGTTTTTCTTGGCTAAACAGACACTTAAGTGTATTGGTAGACATAGTCTTGGTAACCTATTTGGACAAATGCTTCTGTGCCTCACTTGTGCAAGACTTTGTTTTGGGCAGGTTGACCACAGTTTTAATTAGTTAAGCTGCTGGCACACCAGTGTGGTATTAATCTCACTGTACACTGGTCTCTAAACAGATTGCATGCTGACCTGCTAACCAAGCATATTTTGAGATTAAGCAGATCCGCATTCAGATAAGCTCACCTGTTCAATCATACTAAGCCCCATACGCGTCATCGGTGTTATGAGGATTATTGAGTCTACACCTCACATAAAATCCCACCTGTGTGTGGTTCTGCAAGCATATCAGATTAGGTAGATTCATTTTATTTTTGTAATATACATTAAATTGAAAATTATAACTACTCTCCAGTTTAACAATCCAACAGTCCTTTAAGGAAGACTTTGTTGTTGTTGATTCAAATCAGCGATGATTGTTGAGGCTGTGTCGTTTTTATATATATATATATATATATATATATATATATATATATATATATATATATATATATATATATATAAAAATATGTTTATTTAACAATAATAAGCCAAATCAATAGTTACTCCAAATTAACATTATTAATGTATGAGGTATGAAGTCTGTGGTTTCAGTAGTGTCTGTGCAGGATGATGGTTGCATGGGTGTATGTGTGAAGGTGTTGTAGCATGCAAACGAAACAAATACCACAACGCAACAGTCGAACCAAAGAAAACCAAACCAAATGGAAAACCAGGGAGCCGGCCGCAGGGAGGTCTGACCTGGTCTTGACAGCAGCCCCTTGCCGAATGAGAAAACAGTCCCAAATACTCTACAGGGCAATTAGCCCAGGTGCCCAGAGCCACTGCAATCAGCCCCTCCTCCTCCGAAAGAGAGAGAGAGAGAGAGAGACAGAGACCACACTCATGGGTCATGAGTGTGGTCACAGGACTGGACACCTTTTAATATGAAACTACAATGAAATGCAACCTCTTAACATACCATTTGAATCAACTTAAAGTACAATGACAACTGAACATTTTAAGGTGGTATTTATTGCAAACATGGACTATTACATTGTAGAGGTGTTTTTTGAAGAGATAACCTCCGTTATGAATTGGTATATAAATAAAATTCCGTTGAATGTTTATTTTTCATGTCCCTCTACATACAAAGGTATTGATAAAAGTGCTATTTTTTATTTTTTTTTCAGTGGACAAATTACATCCATGGATGGCAGGACCGTTGGGTGGTCCTGAAGAACAACACACTGAGCTACTACAAGTCTCAGGATGAGACTGAGTATGGCTGTCGGGGTTCCCTCTGCCTTAGCAAAGCTGTCATTACTGTGAGTACTATGGAGATTCTTTACTATAAAGCAGCACTCTTCTCCTTTCTGTCAGCAGTGCTTTTATATGGCACAATCTTTTAACCGTAAGCGAGATAACATGCTTGACATAAGTTCTGTGTTCTTGAAAGCAGACTTTTCGTTTGTGCAATACTGGCCTTTTCAAAATGTCTTACAAGAATGAACGCAATTGTTTGTGTAAGAGGGCTACATCTGCTAAGAGAGAGGAACGTCAGTCTCGCTATTTAAGCCACCAAACAGTAAAACTTACTGTGGCAGACACATCCACTGCTGTTCGCGACCTGAGAGGATACTCTGTGTTTATTTTAATTGCAAATGTTGCCACAAGCTAGCCCTGTGTTTTTTCCTTTGCCCACAGCTTCAGCTGATTTTCTGCAGACTGTGTTGCTCTTGTTTTACCTGTCATTACAAAAAAAAGCCATTTTGGTTGCATGTCCAACACAACAAATGATATAAAACATTGCTTATGAATATGCAGAACTGACTGACAGCTGTACTAAAACGTTTTGTGCAGACTTGACCTTCTCTTTATTTTGATTGACTAGCTGTAAAAAGTATGGGCTTATCAACGTAGTCTGATTTTGCTATTCAGAGTTGACATAACTTTGTAAACCTTTTAATAATCAGGTCAGCAATTTGGGGAAATAAGATTAAATAAATTAAACAAATCCACTAAGGAATAACTGTTACTATCAGCTGAACTCACTGGTAAATCTGTCTGTAAATAGTCGGTGTAGCCATTGACAGTTTTATCTTTTTGTTGTTAGTCGTGATCCAAAAGAATTGTGCCATCAACCTTCTCTGATTTGGCCATAAAGACCGACTTGCATTGCAAATACACGATTGTATAACATTCACTGAATTTCACCTTTGGCTGTGCTTTTTTCCACATTGCATGCTTTGTGTAAATCTCAAACAATAACCACGTGTTGCAAATAATGCAAATTATTTGCTTCTTGTAGAAAACAGGTTTTAGTTGTGTGCACTGCATTTTGTTTGGCTTGCTTGTGGAAACAACTCCACTTAAACGATGGACATTTCATCAAACTGAAATCCCACAGGAACTCAGAAGAGCTTTCAGCAGAAGCAAAAACGAGGTTTCAGTATTTCTCATCAAAGTGTCTCCATTTGTTTCAGTGCTGTCTTAACCCTGTGATATAAAATAATGTTTCAATTTTACCTTACCAAAGTTTTTCAGCTTCCATTTTATTAACGCAAAGCCATGATTTTCTAATGCTGTAATTTACCGTTCTAATCAACATGAAACCCATCACATTAGGGGCACATACGGTAAGGAGAAATCTGAAGGAGCATATGTTGATTTTTCAGTTTCTCCTTCCATGGACTTTCTACCCACTGCCCTCTCATTCTCCATTAGCCTCTTACATAGTTTTGAAACCTTTGGCATGTGATATACTAGATATGATTCAGATGTCAGACATTCACCACATATTTGTCTTAAATTCATAAAGGAAAGACTCTGCTCTTTCCTGGATCGATGTGGACGCCTAAGGCTTGACTCACTAATGACAATTCTAATCAGATGAGGAACTTCACCCTGGAGTTTCTCAAACTTGCTCTTCAATAGCAGGTGATAATCTATTTTTACAAACAACTCCTGATTATGTCCCAAGTTATGCTTTAGGGTAACTGGTCTGTCAGGTGACTGTTCTCAGCTCAGTCTGTGTCTCTCTCCAAACACTAACCAGGGAAATGAATAAGCTCCGGTTCCCAGCCAGCATAAAGCAAGCTTTGCTATTAGCTGTATTTGTTCAGCTTCATCAATTCCCAGCCTATGTAAATATTAACCTCCCTGTGGTGCTGTACGGTGGCCATTTTTCATTCCAATGGAAATATGCCTCAGAAGTCGGGCACATAAATAATAAAACGTTATAGCTGGTGATGGTCATGCACAGTAATTGCTTTTTTTATTTTTTTTTTTTGAAAAGAAATATTTTTATCTTTTTCACCAGTATTTCTCTTTGATTTCTCCATCTTGTCGTCTCCCCTCATGGCTCTAACATTAACTATTATAACTTTTATGAGTTAAGCGCAAAAGGGAATGGAGTGTGGCTAAAAAAATGTGTGTTTGTACTAAGATCTGCTTCCATGCATTGTATCCGCTTGTTATGGACCGTCTTTGCATTTACACCATAGTAAATGTTTACACTTTTGAGGTTTCCTACTTTGCTGTTTTCAGTTTGGCCCAGAGTTAGATAACTTGGGTGAGAGGCTATTGATACCATGAACCTGAATAATAAATAATAAGGATAAAAGATCTCCAACATTAGACTCTTAATCGTTTTGTCCATGAAATGTCAGACAATAGTGACCATGCCTGTTATCTGTTTTCCTAGAGCTCAAGGTGCCGTCTTCCAATGTCTTGTTTTGTCCAATCAACAGCTGAAAACCCAAAGGGGTTACTTTAATATATGACACAGGAAAGCAATTCATTGTCATATTTGAGAAGCTGCAACCAGCAAATATTTGGCATTTTTGCTTAAATGAACAAAGCCATTATTTGATTATCAAAATTGTTGCTTTCTATCAATCAACCAATCAATTCATCGTTGCTGCTCTGTGCTTACAGTGTGCATATACTGTATGTATAAAGGTCAGATGGAAGGAAGTCAGTGGTCCAAGTTGCACCATGAGACATTCATAGATTTCAGATCGGACACTAAAGTTGAGAAACTTGAAAACGGGTGATTACTTCATTGCAAAACAAACAGAGCAGGTGCTCAGAAGCATTTCTCAAAAGAGTAAATCCAAACAGTCTAATAACCCAAGATTGAGACAAACTGAATATGACTCCTGCAGCTGATGCTGATGGCCCACTGTTCTCTCCGGTGTTATGTTTCTTATAGTTGGTCTTGTGTCCTGAAATTCAGCGACTGGTTTTAATCATACCCAGCATAAACACAAGCATTCTTCGTTGGTAGAGCATTTTGGGACAGACAATATATTACCCACAAGAACAGTTTATAATATAATGCAATCAAATGGACCTCCGCTCTAAACTACTGCCTGAACATCTGTTTGATAGAGTCTCAACTTAAGTATTTATTTAAGAGCTGCTAGATTGGATTGCATTGTTCATTCCATTGTGTTCACCACCTGTCTTCACGCTAGTGTAGGTAGGTTATAACCTCCCCTTTTTGTGCTCACAGCCACCTTCATTACTAGGGAACTTGATGACACTGTGCACAGAGAACTAATGTTACAGACACATTGCATTAGTACGAGCCAGGTTTGAATAGTAAATTACCTATTAAGTAAACAGGTTGTCCAGTAAGTCAACAATATCCTTATAAATAAATAGAAACTTTTACTAGCTAACTTTTTAAATACAGTTGTAGTATCTGCTCATATTACCAATTATCTCCCGATGTTCTTTTTATTTAACCTTTATTTAACCATGGGAAAAGATCCATTGAGATAAAATGTATTTTTCAAGGGTGCCCTGGCCAAGAAAGGGAGCAGGACAGCAAGTACAAACAAGACAGTACAAACATAAAACAACAAACAAATCACAATCAGAACATTTACCCTTTTACCTATATACAAATGCAATAGTCGCAACTCACAATCAAACCAGTACATTCAAACTTCAATGAGCAGTTAAAATACATCTTATTCAAAAACAGTTACAGTTACTTTGATCTTTAAAAACGTATGTAATCAAGGATTTGAACTTCCCAAAACCAGTACCGCCAGCCAGAGGGCCCTTTGCAAGGAGTTCCAAGTTAATGGTGCACAGTATGAGAAGGCAGTTTTACCCAATACTGAAGTCACCCTGGAAACCTTTAAAAGCAGCAGCCTGCTGGACCAGGTGTGATGACTACTGACCACAAAGCTGAGGAGGCTATTAATGGAATGTGGTAATTTCCAAATAAGTGCCTTATAAATAAAGTTACACAAATGTATCTGTCTCCGCATAGCTAATGATGGCCAATCCACCATATCATATAATCTGCAGTGATGTGTGCGCGATTTAGCAAGTGTAACGCTGCATGGTATGCAGAATCAAGTTCCTTTAACAATGATGAAGCCGCATGATGTACAGAACAGTTTAACATCTAATGAGTGTTATGTTACTGTAACATAACCATCCATTGTTTTCTCCTTGAGTGTATGGTTTTCTACACTTTATTTATTCATTTAGCTAACGCTTTTATTCAAAGCGACTTACAATTGCTATACATGTCAGAGGTCGCACACAATGGTGGAATTGATTGATCCTTAATGGAGCTTCTGCCTGTTTTGCATTTTGAAGACAGCGAGGTTGGTAAAGGCTCTTAGATAAGTCTCTGTATTTACAGTGTGTGTATATAGTACTTTAGAATTACTACGGATTTCCGTGTAGCATTACTGTATACTCATTCACTATGCATTAGTTCCAGATTTCGATTCCTCTCTTGAGGCTGCTATACCACTTAAGTATGATGCCGCTCTTGTTCCTCTGTTTCACATCTGACAAAGGTGTAGTGTATAATCCTTGTTATCATACAAGGAGAATTCTGACTAAAATATTAATACATAATACGTGGTAATGGAGCAGTGGATAAGACGCATGCCATTAGTGTGAAAAAACAAGGAATTAGTGAATAACATATGTAGTAGGATTGTTTTGAGTTCTTCAAGGCTGTGGTATTTGGATGCAATGATTTGCCTTTTTCCTAACCATAACTGTCACAATGAACCACGCAAGTTGGCTAAAGAGAGGAAAGGGAAGAGACAGAGGGGGGAAAAGCTCAAGGTTCAGGCTCAGGTTGAATAGACTGTTGCGAGTGACGTCAGTCTTTGTGGAAATTGAAAAGTGTCTTCAGCTAGGAAATGAGACTCTTCCTCATTGCATGTGACTTCCTCTATGTTGGACATTCCCAAGTCTGTAGGTGTGTGTATGTGTATGCATTTCAGAGAGTGTTGTTCTTACTGCCTTTCCTTTCTCTTGCTTTCACTCTGATGACTTGGTGAGTCAGTGTTTCCTCCAAAGGGGCCACGGGGATCCCATTTTGGTGTCCAGAGTCTACAGAAAGATGTTCCTGGCACCGGAGCGTAGCACAAATGAACTGCTGTATTTTTGTCTGAATCTCCTCTGCAGAGGCCATAATTATGAAAGAAATGCACAAATGAGTAAAAATGTTCAGTTAGGTCTGGCGATGCTTTTTAGGGTTTCCCAGTGTTTGCATTGGTTTCTTCCTCCTTCTTTTTTTTTTTTTTTTTTTTTTTAGGTGAATATCATAAGCTTTTTTTAAGAGGAGCCTCCCATCCATTCAGTTCTGGAAATTGTGACTGCAGACACGTACTGCAGCCCAGAACGGGTTGGAAGGGAGAGAACAGACGGAGACTCTTTTTGAAGCTGAGTAGGAAGTTTATGTTTCAAGAGAATAGAGACAGAATAAAGCTGTTTTGTCTCATCATTTTGATTTTGGCATTGATATTACTTGCTACAAAGCAATACAGAGGGGAAAAACTTGTGTGTTAAATTATTTCATAAACTTCTCTTTCTCCCCTCTCTGTCCTGTTCTCCCCCAAAATGCTCTATTTCAAGACCATACAGTTGAAAATCCAAAACAAACAGATATGGGTCCCTAGAAGCAAAGTCCGATGATCTGAATATGGGATATAATTATGGCTGGGCCCCACAAAAAGTGGGGACACTAGAACTAGTTGCCGGTGGAAGATGACAACAAAATCCAGAAATGGATTAACAAAACAAAAACTTCTCTGTTGTGTGTCTGCTCTTATATCAAGACTTTGTTACACACACATTGGGCTCCTTAAGCATCGCATGGACACCAGTGTACCCTAATGTTGCTGCTGAGAAAATGCATCTCCTCATGGTCACAGTCTACTTTTTGTCCCATATAGATTTTAAAATGTTGCAGCATTGTGGGCGCACAGCTTTCAGGGCACAAAAAGATAATTGAAATATTGATCTGTCCTGGGATCCAGAGTGCTTTGCTGCAATCATTTCCAAAATATCCATCCATTGATTTCTTTATACCTGCCTGTCCTGTCCTGTGCACGGTCACAGGAGGCTGGAAAGTATCCCAGCACGCACTCTGCAACAGAAATTCTCTAGCTCTTCACAACAACTTTGTACTTCATTTCTCTGAGTTTCTCTAGTTCATCAACGTACACCACATGCACACGCAGACAGACCGCTTGCCTTTTCACATAGAGCCCAGGCTGAGATCATCGTCAGCAGGTCAAGTCATCTTGTAAAGTGCAAGGCTGCTAGGATGACCTTCCCGTGATGGATTGTTGTTTACTGTAGCCTTGGATCCCAGTAACCTTCCCAGACCCAGTGCAGGCTTTCATTCCTCAACCCTGCTTACCAGTCAGTATACCCATGACCCCGTAGTGCAGGGGTGATCAAGAGAAACCCATTTTTTTAATACTTCCCTAGTAACCGAATAACACTGCAATCCCGTCTACCAACCAAACACTCGGCACAATGTGTGCAGGGACTCTAGCATTCTCTGTAATTTAGTGCAGTATAGTGATATGTGCGTGGGTAAATATGATTTTATTTCTCAAATGTTGTGGTCGTTTTTTTTTATTTTCCTTCCTGCTTGTGTAGATTTTAGATTCTGATCCATCTGTAACAGTTGTGTTGAAAAGAAACTCAGCAGAAAAACTCTGTATACATTTTTTTTTTTGGGGGGGATTTTAATTCAGATGGCAGATTTGAGCTGGTAGTTGTAGTCCAGTCAGACTCGGTGGGTTGTTGAGGGGATATCATGGAACTATTCAGTGTGATCCTGTTGGGAGTTGTGTGGTACTCTTTTGTCTTCCCCATAACAGATGGAGAGTTAAAGATGCATCACCCTTGTTTCCTTCCTTCCTTGCTTGGGCCTCCTCCTCTCATCCTTCTCTGCCACTGGTGTTGATCTTAAAGCTCGTGCTGCCACTAACTTAAATGAGCATCTGGTTTTGAAAGCTCTCAGCATTCAGCCTCATGCTGTGCATTATTGACACGGAGCATCTGGCCTTGGCCTCAGTGCCGTCCAGGTGTCAGGCAGCACAGCCAAGTCAGACTCCTCCAATGAAACCTCTTTAAAGACACCATAGTGGGCCATTTATTACTCTGCCAACTCACTGAAGTAATACAATCTTCGGTAATGGTTTGGGCTCAGGCAGACTCCGGGCACTTGCATTGGATGATATTGGATTACGAGCTTGCATTTGTTAATGATCATATGTGGCTGTTTTATTATAGCTTGTCTCAGTGAATGTAAAATTAGGATGTAGTGTTAATCTTGTATGGATAAAATAATGCTGATAGACAGGAATAATCAATAAAGTGTAATTATAATACTTTAACCATATTGATCCACTAGCCCAAAGAAATTTAATTAGTGGCTATAGTGGTTCTTGTAATATCGCAGGCTCTTGGCCCTACATAATAGATTATTTCACTTATTGCACATTACAAATATGCTAAGACAGGGATCCCAGATGTGTTTATAGTATTGTGGCCAACAGGAATGAGGATCTGCTGCAGTCTGCTCAATCTGTCTTTTCCAGTTCTTGGTCCTTCCCCAGCTATGCTATGAACAAGCCAGACCTTCACTCAAATATCAGCCTGTTCTTCCACTGATCACACCTTGAGAGTGAGATTGCATTGGGACTCACTATTGAGGTGTCCTTTCAGAAGGCCAGATGCATTTTATAGATAGTACACAGGTAACATTGCTGTCACCACTTCTCCCTCCACCTCCACCCTCTCCCAGCACACACACCGACACACATACAGTCCCTGGTTGCTGACCATGCATGCGCAGCAGTTTTACAGTGCTGACCGTACACTGGGGGGTTATTAGGAATATGCTCCATCCTGCAAGCTGCCTTAAAAAGCCAGTTATCTGCCATTTCTTCTCCTATGGGATGCTGTCTGAAAATGGAGCTGTTATGCCTCTGGTACTCTCTTCTTTGTCTTCTGTCTCCGTTAGATGTAGAGATAGGCCTACATAGAAGAAACTTAACTCATCACTGTGGCTGTGCCATGTTCCCAGTTGTTAAAGCCATCTGAGAAACAGATTGTCGCCTACCCTGTAACGCACAGGGGAGAGATTAGCAGTTTGCTATTTCAGTGCCGTTTAATAGCTATTTACATGGATGGCCGCCTCACATATGCCTCCCTCTGCTCTTCCTGAGCGGGAAAGAGATTTGCTTTTCCTCTTGCTATGAAAAGAACATGACAACGAGCTTAGAAATGTGTGTGACAGCATTAACTGAGAGCTCAAGCCAGCTGGGTGCCCATACTGGCCTCATTTCATAGATGCTCCCTCGGCTGCTATCTGATGACGACAGGGGATTTGATTATAATGACCGATTATTTAAAGGATCAACCACAGCATGCACACTGACTAACCTGTGTCCTTATTTCCTTTTTCTGTGTGTATATCTTTTAGCCTCATGAGTTTGATGAGTGCCGGCTGGACATAAGCGTAAATGACAGCGTGTGGTACTTAAGAGCACAAGACCCAGAGCACAGACACCAGTGGATTGACTCCATTGAGCTGCACAGGGTAAGTCATGCACACTCTAACACAGCTCACAATAAACTGCTGGCATCAAAAGAAACCAAGTCCTTGTCACATGTACAACAAAAACAGTCTCATCTTATACAAGGTTGGATTTGTGAATGTGTGTGGTTTTTATTGTGTGTGTGTGTGTGTGTGTTTTTCTATCAGAGTATCAGAGAGGGGAGGAGAGAGAAGGGAGGAGTCCAGGGAACAATAATCATCCCTCAACCACTGGTGCGTTTGTTGGCAAGTCTGTAGGATTCTAGGACTTACTGATTGCTTCACTTGTCTTTATGACAGTACACTGTAGTAGCATGTTTGTGATAACCTGTTCACCTGTCTTTATTTAGGCCATTAAAAATTTTTGCTCAGACATGTATGCTGCATGGATAGTTTTTATCCTAGATGGTTCACAATTGGTAAGTTATCTTAACCTTGGACTCAGGGTTAGGATAATCTCATTTAACACACAGAACTCTGAAAAGGCAACGCAAGAGTCGCTGAGAAAGATGTGTGAAGCACAGCCAACAGATAACCCTGTTTTTAATGACTTTCTAGGGACAGCCCTGAAACGTTGAGGTTAACCTGCTTGGGGCAGAGTCAGTTGGCCCATAGTCGTGGCATTCTTGCTTTGTGTATTGCCTAAAATATAAGTACAATGTGGATTTACACAGGGCTGAAATACAAGTTCTTTTAAGTGCTTTGTGAAAAGCCTTGCAGTTCAGGGAGAGCACAAGGAACACCCGTAGTATTTAGTTAGTGTTAAGGACAAAGGAAGCAGGTTACAACCCCACTGTTGACTGCTGAGAGGAGACAATAGAGGCAGACAAGACGTGATTTCTGAGTGCACAACATCAACAAAAAGTTTTTTTATACTGCTTTTGTATGTTTGGAAATCTTAATCTACGGCAGACATGAAGTAATCCAAAGTGGAGCCATAGTTACGTGCTCACTCCTGGTCCGTAGTTTGGGAAATACCTCCCTCTTCTCTCCTCACTCGCCCCAGCATCAGGCAGCCACCATGACTCAGACCGAGCAGGTGGGAGTCAGCACACCAGGCCACAGTCCCACCCACAATGAGTCACCACTGAAAGCTCCTCTTCCTAGAAGGCCCTGTTTCCTTTTCTAACTTACATTACTCACAGCACTCTGCAGCCCAGCGTCTCCAGGGAGACACAACACACTACAGCTAACACTCAAGTCTTCTTAGAGACACAGAAACATCTAAACATGAAAACAACACTTGTTTCTAGGATAACATCTATATTAAAGTAAGCTGTGCATGTTGTATATTTTAAATGTGCAGTCAGAGCCATATGACATAGATATTGGTAATGTAAGCTCATCTTTAAAGGCAATTGGCACAAAAAGTATAGCTTTGTTTCTTGGGCAGAGGTCTTTTTCTGCTCAGGGTAGCTTTTTTTTTTAATCAGCACAAAGCTTTATATCTCCTACTGTCTAAAGTCAGCAGTGTGTGTCCACTAGGGCTCTAATCACCCAACACATAAACACATTAACACTTATACAGTTGCTTAGTATTTGCCAAGCGGCATGCACCTTAAGAACGTGCATAGGTATTACTGCGCAATTGAGATTGTTGACAGGAGATACAGCAGCTGATAAATGTTACCTTTACTCCTGTTTTGTTTTGTTTTGTATTTTCAAATTTTATCAAATGGCATAGCTGCAAAATATATGTCATCAAACAGATTAAGCAGTTGTCATGCGAACAGTTAAATAGTGTTATCTGTGCTGATGAAGTCAGTGGGGTAGCAGTATGTTAGCTAAAGGACAAGTGGCTGTGACTCAAATCCATGCGAAGACAGGCGGAGTTACTTCTGGTCGTTGACCGACAGTTACCCCAGCCTCTGACAAATGCCTGTCACAACCATTTACATTTCATGCCTCCTGGTGGTTGAAGTTGGAAGTGTCTTTTAAAGGGAAAGACATCTTTATTACTCCTTCCTGCCAGAATCTGTCTGTGTCGTTGAAGCCATCTAAATTGAATATGTAACAGGAAACCAGTCAGGTTTACAGGAAGTCAGTTGATGTTTCAGTTACGTTGCCATGATCACTGAATCTGTCATGTGCTGCTGTTGAGGTCACCGTATCCTGTCAGAATATTGTTTTGAAGGCTTTCATTTTATAATTGTATAATTTTATGTAACACAGAAATCATTTTAAATTCATAATTTACATCTGCTCACTGTATGTAGTACTTCATGTAAAGAGAGAGTCATTTTAATTAAACATGTGATGTTTAAAACACTGGAATAGATGTGACAGAACAGAAAGCTGCATGTTGGAAACATGTCTGGTCAAATGGACAACTAGAACAGAGATTACTTGGATCAGTTTAAGTGAAGGATTAGTATTAGTTCATCTTTTGTTTTGTGATTTCTGGGTTTGTTTAATAAGTCACTGCTGAATTATGGCAGGTTTTTTTTTTTGTTTGTTTTGTTTTTTTGTCAAGAGCCTAGCTCTTTCTCTAGTGCATGATCTTTTGTTTTGATTAAATATTTGTTTTTAATGAATAATTATCATGTATTTTATTAAGTTAAAGCTACTTTGTGACAACATCACTATCTTGTTTCCTCATTGCCATGTCTGTTTTTCTCCACACCCGTGCATTTCTTCATAGGCTGATTCTGGATATGGCTCAGAGTCCAGTCTGCGGAGACATGGCTCCATGCTGTCTCTCACATCAGCCACCAGCGGCTACTCTGCCACCTCCACATCCTCCTTCAAGGTGAGTTTTCTGGTAAATGTTCAGTTATTTTTTCGGGGGGGGGGTATTTGTAGGCACACACAGCCTGCTTTTTTGTCAGCACATGCGTACTGGACTGACTGCATTGTGGTCAGTGGAAATATAAACAAAGGCGTGACCACTCTGTTGCTTTTTGTTTCTTTAGAAGGGTCACAGCCTGAGAGAGAAGCTGGCAGAGATGGAGACCTTCAGAGATATCTTGTGCAGGCAGGTGGACACGCTTCAGAAATACTTTGATGTCTGTGCGGACGCCGTGTCTAAGGATGAGCTGCAGAGGGATAAAAGTAAGACGCCTACACCTTTCTTTCGTTACTCGGTAGGGATGTGATATTTTGATGGATGGGTAGATTTTGGAAAGAAGTGAAGATTATTTAATTGTGAAAATGCAACTTTCCTTCTGCTTTCATATTATTTTAGGGCTTAACCTACTACTGAATTAATGAATTGGTACATCAATTGAAAATTAGTCAGCAACCATTTTTATAATTGCTTATGTCATTTTTCAAGCGTAAATGCCAAACATACACTTGTTCCAGTTTTTCAAACATGAAAATTTGGTGCTTTTCTTTGTCATATATGATAGCAAACTGCACATCTTTTTTTCTTGGACTGCTTGTCCAATGGAACTATTTGAAGACTGCACATGCAGGAAATTAGATTAAGTATTTGACTGCCACATTTTATGGACAAAACAATTAAGTAATAAATCAAGAAACTAACCAACAGATTATTTGATAATGAAAATAATTGTCAAAGTTTTGTCACATATCCATAGCATTAGGTAAACAATGTGTAGACATAATAGAAAAAAGAAGGAACATTCTGGGAACCAAAAATGAGAATTGTTTACAAAAATATGTTTCTTACATGACACTGGTTTGTCTAAGAGAATCTTTAGCTTCCATATTTCATATATAGATAGTGAAAATATTTGGAGTTTAGAAGAAACGTTTACTGAGTCTCGCATGAAATGTGTTTGTGTGTGGGACTCAGAAAGCAGTTCTTATGCAGGCCCCCCTCACCCTCACCCCATCTTGGCTGGCTGAACATTTGCTCATGGCAGCCTGCGCTGGGCGCCTGTGGATGACCGCAGTGAATGAAGCCCTGTTTTTGTTCTCTAACCTCCCTCTCTCTACAGTCCTCTCTCTCTCTCTCTCTTTTCTCTCTCACCCTCTGTCTATTCTAAAGATGAAACCAGACCATTGTCATGTTGTCCAGCACAGCAGAGGTCTGTCAGTCTGATGGTGTGCTGTGCTGTAGCTTAAGTTGTGAATGGGTCACAATGCGGTGCCCTGCCCTGGCACCCTGGATGACTCTGAATGCTTGAAAAGGTGTGTAGCAGCTAGCTTACTTAATTTCTTTTTTTCAGTCGTGGAGGATGATGAAGATGACTTCCCCAATACCCGGACAGATGGAGACTTTCTGCATAACAGCAGCAAAGAAAAATGTGAGTATTGCAGAAACTTAAACCCCTGAAGTGCTTACTGTGACAAAAAATAGTGTTCCTGTACAACCTTTGTTGTTGTAAGAAGGTGATTGAGAAAGTATTTTTCAGCACCTTTTTAAAATCTTTGTGTTCCTCATAGTTGACATATACTTATGTCAACTATGTATATGTCAACTATCTTTCTAATGAGTAATCTTGCTGTTATGTTCACTGACATGAAATAATTTAAAAAAAGTTTAGGAATTAACCCCATACTTGGTCATTGGTCTGTACAGATTTGGTGTTACAAGAAGCATTTGTTTTAGTCGGCATGCTCCTCTTTTGTGCAGTGTTCCTGTCCTTGAGTCCCAAGGGAATCAATGGCATAGACTTTAAGGGTGAGGCCATCACATTCAAGGCCACCACTGCTGGGATCTTGGCCACTCTGTCCCACTGCATTGACCTCATGGTGAAGAGAGAAGACAGCTGGCAAAAGAGACTGGACAAGGTGTGTAACATTTGGATTGGATTAGCCATGTTGCATCTACTTGCTTGAAAGAAAGAACATAGACAATAGTTATTGTGCCTCTTCATTTATCTACAGTAGTGAAGTAGCCATCTGCAAAACAAAAAAATGCTGCAGGAGAGAGAGTTATTGTAGGATTTGATGCTAGATCAGCATGCATATCTTTCCTACTTCCTCTCCACAATTGCGATTGTTTTATTATTCTGGATTCCTGTGTTTGTAGGAGATGGAGAAGAGGCGAAGAATAGAGGAAGGCTATAAATCAGCACTCAATGAGTTGAAGAAAAAGTCTCACTTTGGAGGTCCAGATTATGAGGTGAAGTAGTTCACCATTAATGCAGCACAAATTTTGGGTTGTGCACTTTTGAAGTAACGTTCCTTCTCTACTTCATTGGCAGGAGGGTCCAAACAGTCTCATAAATGAGGATGAATTTTTTGATGCAGTGGAAGCTGCTCTTGACAGACAGGACAAAATAGAAGAACAGGTGAGCAAAAGATCAAATGCAATATTTACTTATAGAAAACGTTAACTGCTGTGATGTGGTGTTAAATAAAAGCAATGACATGCCTTAAAGGTAGTATGTTTAAAATACTTCAATTTAATATTTTTTTTCTTAAGTTCTTCATTTAAATTCTGTATTTGTTTGTGTCTAGTCTCAAACTGAGAAGACAAGAATACAGAGATGCAGCCCAGTCCCCCCTGGAGATGTGTATTCCAGCGCTGGCACACACAGATTCTCTGACAAGGTTGTCCAATCCACTCCTTTAAACTGTACTGTCATCATTTCACCTGTTCCTCCTTCATTTCTTCCAGCTCCTCATTTCACACTTCTTTCATTTTTACATCTCACATCCTTCTGTGTAACTTTGTACCTTCATATTTGTCAATCATCCCCTCGGGTCTCCTCTTCACTGTAGCCTCATAGTCAGTCCTCCCCTGCTCTGATAGTTATGGCCCCTCCTCACGATGTCCACAGATTCAGTGCAGAGGTAACTCACTGCCACGGCTTAGCCAGTCACCCTCCCTCTGTGTTTCACCTGTCTAGACTAAACACCATGTTTGCACGGCTGTTAACTGCGTAAGCTTTATCGTGAATACACAGGAAGAGTCTTGAATGACTCATAGTAGCAGCATGAAGCATGAGCTCCCATTATATCTGTGTGTGTGTGTGTGTGTGAGAGAAATAATAATTGTTCATGTTGAAAGACAATGTGCCACCAGGTCAGTTGTGTAACAAAAAGTTTACCCCCCTGAAGTCGCAGAACGTATCTAATATCCGTGATAATGCAGCACATAAATATGGTTCCAAAATTGCTTTAACTGATACATATATACGATATAGGCCTTTTTGGTACATTGAAGCTTTGTGTCCTCCTTCATTCATTTTTCTAATTTGATTTTGTTAGTTATAGTCCACAGAAACTAGACATTTTAGTCTTGATTTTGGTCAGTGAAATTTCACTGAAATTTCAGAAAAATTCAGTTGTCATTTCCGATTTCTGGCTGTTTGAACAGAGCAGCTGCTGAAATTAAAGTTTAGCATGTTACGTCCACATCTGCGGCCCTTGATAACTTTCCGTTAAAGTTAGCTAACGTTTTTTCTAAATGTCGTGGTGGTCTGCATGTGTTGGTGGTTTCTCCAAGCTGCTTTGTTGAAGCCTCTTGTCTAAATCCAGTGGGATTGGAGATGCATATACTGTATATACAGTATACTGTATATGTAAATACATTGTTACTTTTGGCTTCCAACATCATGACAACACATGAAATTACTGAGAAACAAGATGCTGCTTATTAGTGAAACAGGTTAAGCAGCAAAACAACAACAACAGATTTTTTTGTATCATTCCATACATGCATGCAGGTCGTTGAATAAGACCCAACATTTATCATTTTATATGTCCATTCATCCATCTTTCACTTTATTGTTTTGATAAAATATTATAACACCATTCGTGATTTAAAAAAAACTTTTTTATGTCTTTATTTAGGTTTAGTCTAGTTTTTGGCGTGAAAAATCTTGTCTGCAATATTTTTTGTTCATTTCTGTTCATAAAATTAACACCGATCCTCAGAGGATCTTTTCAAGTAGTCATCACATCATCAATCTCACATCCTCTGCCTGTCCTTGGCCTTGTGTTATAGGTGGAGGAGATGGTGCAGAATCACATGACCTACTCCCTGCAGGATGTTGGTGGAGACGCCAACTGGCAGCTGGTTGTAGAAGAGGGAGAAATGAAGGTTCGAGGAGGATTTTTCAAAATGTCATTCCGATTTCTGTAACTGTAAATCACATAGAGCATTTTTATATGTAATACTTTCACTGAGACACACAGTAAATCTTGAATCAATGTTTTTAAAGGATCGAGTACATTTAATTTGTTCTTAAAATAACATTTATCTGGAGTTTACTATTGGATTACTGTTTTTTCTTTAACATCAGTCCGAGCCTAAAGATTATAAAATGATTTCACTTAAATTTGGCATGCGTGTGCAGGTGTACAGGAGAGAGGTGGAAGAAAATGGGATTGTTTTGGACCCGCTGAAGGCCACCCATTCTGTAAAGGGGGTGACTGGTCACGAGATCTGCCATTACTTTTGGGACACTACCTACCGCAACGACTGGGAGAGTAAGTCTTTAAACTCAAAGTCAGTACATGTTTAAAACAAATTGTTATGATTAAGAAACTTTCATTTTAATACACCCATGTTCTCTGCTTCTTTTAGCCACCATTGAAAACTTCAATGTTGTGGAGACACTGTCAGACAATGCAACAATTGTTTATCAAACGCACAAGGTAAGCTGCAAGATCACAAACAAAATCCCCACACCTGATCTGACAATGGAATGGATCTGCTTGTTTTAATCACCTTTTCTTATTGTTCTGTTGAATCTGAAATGATAAAAGAAAAATGAATCTGTGTTGCAGCGGGTGTGGCCTGCATCTCAGAGGGACGTGTTGTACCTGTCTGCCATGAGAAAGGTTCTGGCCAACAATGAGAATGACCCAGACACCTGGTTGGTCTGCAATTTCTCTGTGGATCACGACGATGCACAGGTTAGCCATTAAGCCCATTCAGATACATTTTAGGTGTCAGACACCATGCGAGGAATTTATTGAGATTCTAAATAATAACCATGCTGCTGCTTTTCTTAATTCTCTGTCTTGTTGTCCCACAGCTAACCAGCAAGTGTGTCCGTGCCAAAATCAACATCGGCATGATCTGTCAGACCCTGGTCAGCCCCCCAGAGGGAGATAAAGAGATCAGCAGAGACAACATCCTGTGTAAAATCACCTACGTCGCCAATGGTGTGTGCATCTGTTCTTTTGGGTTCAGTTGACATTCATTTTCATGGTATCTGCAGGTCTTGGAAAGTTTTGAAAAGTCTTGGAAGATTCACCAACGTGTGTCTGCACACTTGCCTTCCTCAGAGTGTCTTGTTTGGTTTATTGCTTTGGGTCAAGACACCCTGAGGAAGGCAAATGTGTTGATATGTGTTGGTGTATTTGTATAATGTAGTAGCTCGTATTTATTAAGGGCTTTTTGTTTTTAACCATCCACTTCACTTCCTGGAATTATGATGTATGCCAACACCCTAGCCATGTATGGGGGCATATTATTTTCCTCTTTAAAATTGATCTTATGTATTTATAGTATATAAAAACTCATTTAGACATATTATGATGTGCTTGTTAAAGGTTCAGTGTGTAATATTTCTGAGGATCTATCGACAGAAATGCAATATAAGATCCATAACTGTGTTTTCAGTGGTGTGTAAAGACCTTACATAATAAACCGTTATATTTGTATCACCTTAGAATAAGCCATTTATATCTACGTCCCCCCTTCCATGAACGTCGCCACGTTGCATCGTCATGTTTCTACAGTAGCTGAAAACGGACAAACAGCGCTACAGAGCGCGTTTCGTCACGAAGTTCTTCTTGTTCTACTTCTGGTAGAATTCAGGCAGTGCAGACACTCATCACTATGTTGAATACGTACGTTAGAAGAAGTAGTAATAATACACTGCAGGGGTCTGCAAATAAGTTTTGCATCAGAGCAATATTTTCAACCATCAGATGGTGATTGAGAATATAAGACACAATATTGACTTGCATCAACATGTTGTTCGGTTAGTTTAGTTTGTAAGGATTCGCAACCCAAGGGTTGATGGTTCAATCCCACCTGGATAGGGAGCAGTGGTAGACTGGACAGTTGGTTGCAATTCACAACCCTCACCACTAGATGCCATTAAATCTTACACTGAACCTTTTAAAGCAAACTTTCTTGCTCAGTAAAGTTGGTTTCCTGTGTCTGTATGCAGTGAATCCAGGGGGCTGGGCTCCTGCCTCCGTGCTCAGGGCCGTGGCTAAGAGGGAGTACCCGAAGTTCCTCAAACGCTTCACCTCCTACGTCCAGGAAAAAACTGCTGGCAAACCCATCTTATTCTGAGGCTCACAGGTAAAACAGGAGTTCACTAATCCAGTTTTATGTGTTCATCTCTTTAGTCAGTAGAAAATAACAACATGAAGCTTCTGCATCTTTTTTTTCAGTGTTGAGACATGAGGACAGAACTGCACGTGAGGCTTTGAGGACGTACTATCTGGTGCTCTGCTGCCGTTCCTCATAGTTATTTCTTCCTTCCCAGTTCTTAGCTACAAGTTAGTTCCACTAGGGGAGGAAGGGTCAAAATGGTGCCCTCTGGTGGCTGCATTCCAACATTTGCTGGACAACCCTTGGCCTGAGAGACATTCAGATGAAAATTAGTGAAAATATATCCTGTTTTGTTTTCCTACTACATTATGGTTTAATTAATACTACTAACTTTCTAAATATAAAATACTAAATTGCTGTTATTCATAAGGAAGATATTTTTCATTGTCAATTAAATAAAACGGTAAGAGTTTGTGTCCTGAGATGAATGCATCCAGCAGTGGGCCCAGTCTACCTTCCCTCCCCATGAAAGTTCTTGCAGCAGCTCCTGATGCCACAGTTGACTCCATCGTTCATGCTCACGTAGAAGACTGACTTGTAAGAGTAGCAAACATGTCAGGTACAGATATATTAATATATAAATGTATGTATGTTCTATAAGAGGTTTGTAAAAAGAAACAGATCTTTGCTAATAGACTGAAATATTTTATTCTTGCCATTTATAGCTCATTGTGCTAGTTAGAAAAACATCATTGATTGACATGAGATGAATATTTGTATTAAGTCCAGAGGGCTGTCATCAACTCATGACCCCTATGATAAGGGACTTGACCTTTCTGACTCCGTCGCTCTCATGAAAACACCTCTCGTTGGTGCTGATGGAGGGACAACCCGAGAGAAGTGTGTCATATATTTAATGTACATTATTTGCTTGGCTTTATATTTGTGTTATTGTACATGTTGTAGTGTCATAGCACATATTTTGAATGTTTAATGAATTGTAAATAGTGTCACTAAAATTTCTCTGAAGGTCTGAAAATTGTTGGACTACAGTCAAGCCCAAATGCCTTAGTGTTACAGAAAAGTATAGTTTAAGATGGAATAAAGGGTGCTGTTAGTGCACCTATGAAATCACTAGAAAGTGCCTCATGGCTAAATTCCCCTTATTATGCTCTCTTCTCCCCTAAAATTGGTCCTGCAATATATTCACTGAATGAACAAACAAGGGCTCCCACAGAGGGCTAGCAGGATACTTTTTTCTAAGTGCTAGTATTATGAAGACTTAAGATTCATTTCAGTTTAAGACTTGCCGCCACAACCTTTCTGTCAGTGTGCCTGGTATTCGTTACATACATGTGCTGTGTACTGGCAGTTAAAGTGCTGAAACCATTCTGTTGATGTAGGTAAGTTAGGTCTCTGTATCACGTATCATCTGTCTAAAAGTGTTGCTGATCAAGGGCAGGGCTGCAAAGTCCAGAGTTTAGGATCTACTCTGTTTAAGGACTTAAGTTGTTTTTTCTAGGAATGTTGTAATTGCAATTCCTTGTTTTATTTGCTAACATTTCCTAAAACCGTAACCCTGAACTTTGCAGTTTTACAGGTGACGCAGGACGTTTGAGGCATGCATAATTTGGTTTAAGAACTAAATACATTTTAGTATGACTTCCACCTATGGACAGCACAAAATGTTGGGTCATAGCAATGATGATAGATTTATAGCTATTTTATCAGTCACCACTCTTGAGCCTTTGGTCTTTTTAGAGCTTATAAGCAGAGGGATGTGGATGACAGTGAAGCCAGATGATACTCTGCCTCTGAGCTAAGTGGAAAGAAGCTGGGCTGAGACCCATTCACATAAAGCAGACATTTCTAAAACTATTTTTTTGTTAGCAAAACTGAATGTAAGTAGATACATTTTGTGTAAATAATTTGTTCATACTAATGCAGTGGGGTCATCTTATAAAATGTACTGTTGACAGTGTCGCATCTGATCTGCACTGTTTTTAAAAAGTGAAATAAATAAGTTTATCCACAGTCTTCAACGTTTGGAGCCATTTATTCACATTAAAAAATGACCAATGAGACGACGACAGAGTGTGTAGTGTTGTTTATTTTTTTTAAATAATACAATCTTGAAATTGCTTAAAATTTTATCTAGAGCATGCTATGGCTCAACATCTCCATGACATACATACATAAATAATGTAAGGCCACTTCTGAGCTTCATTACTTTCAATACAAGGCCCTGGAGTACCCATAGCCAGTGATGCCTTAAAACTCATCCATTGCTTCCATCATGCCAATCAATCCTCCAATCATTCCGCACATACAGTGTACCATAAAGGTTTATTAAATGAGTTAATATGGCTTTAATGTGTCTTAGTTGCGGTTTAGAGTCTAAACAAGTCACTCAGGCCGGCATTTTCTTTCCCAGAATCAGCAGCCACAGTCATTCTACAGTATACAGTAGCATCTTCATTCAGGAAGGCGTGTGCAAGTAATATCCTCCAACACTGATTTGAGTACAACATACATTCAGGCAGAAAGTTGGCATTTTAAACTTGAGCAAATGTCACCTACAGCATTAAATTTCACATTACAGCATTGCTGTCCCAAGCAAGCGTTTGGCAAGTGCAAAGAGAAAAACAGATGTTACAGCTGTCTGAGTATCTCACTTCATGCAGTTTACATGGAAAACCATACAAGCATTAATGTGGATGTTTTGTCTTTCCATCGAATGATGGGAAAATCAATTTGCTGTTGGCCTAACCACTCTTAAGAGGCACAGAATGCTTGTTCAAGACTTTGTGCAGCATGGTGAATGTTACAAACCCAAACCCCATCAATAATTCAGAGTAGTCTTAAAGATCAGTTGCAACAACAGTGAAGGCTTTCCAAAACACTACTGTCAGTGTTCAGTTGCAGACAAATGGCACGAATAAGTAACCCCGTCATCACATTTCAACCCAAAATGTCATGCAATCTTTCAGGCGATACACAAAGCAAGCACACATCAGCTGTGCTCTTCAGCATGTGTTGGCTCTGGTTAACAGCCGGTTACTCTTTAATGTCTTTGATGTCCACAAACCACAGAACTCCCTTCAAAACCACGTCATCTGGAGAAGATTCAAACTTCTCAGTTTTCTTACGTTAGCTGGAGAGCTCATTTGGTCTGGCTGACTCTGAGGATGGACCGTCAACATTTGATGTCACACATTTGTATCCAGACTTTGATGCAGGTTTTTCTGACAGGTCTGGTTTAGATCTGTGCGAGAAACAGAACGGAGTCAGCCATCACGAGGGGGGGGAAAAAAATGATTTATACACCACAAAAGAACCTGGCCCTGTTTCAGAAAGCAGGATTAGTGAAAATTCAGAGTACGTTAAGCCCGTGATGAGGGAAATTCTGGGTTTTCTGTTTCAGAGCAAGAGATCAGATAAACCCTAGATCAAGTTTCATTCATACTGTCAATATCTCCTCTTAACAAGACAGTAGCTCCCCTAATGGATAATGCGAAATAAATTTCTATAGGCTACAAGTGTTTATGCTTTAATGAATTACCTTCATGATAAGAGTTCATCCCGACTGATCCTGTCAGAGTGTCGGGAGATTGAAATAATCAATGACATTATGCCGCTGTATCTAGTGCGTCTTTCTTAATGGGGAGACTCCCCATTAACTCCCCACCCTGCTATTAAATCACAATTTTTATGACAAAGACCCACCCGATCCGCGGATATAACTCTGCACATCACTAGAACCCATAAGCATATCCTACACCTTATCAGAATAATGCGCCCATTAAATAGCAGTTTAAGTAACTCAAAAGTTGTGTAAAGCATTACAGTAACTAGTCATCTATAATGTATTACATTTTGGAAGTAACTTGCCCAACACTGTTGAACATAACCACTTTTATGTTTTTCTGTCATCGATGTAAGGACAGAGTTATCTCAGCACATCGTAGATTAATCCTCATCACAAAATAAAGTTTACAGGCTACACTGTCCTCCTTTATAACACTGGCCATGTCTGTCCAGACTCATTTAAATAGTGAATACTTGTACATCTATTATCTACTAATTGCCCAGTAGGAGAATTCCAGCGCTTTCTCACTCATTAAGGAAATCCCAGTCTGGTAAACTATGAATGAGCAACGCTGTATAAAATGTAATATTGTTAACGTATTGACTCCTTCCTCCACTCCTGCGTTTTAACATAAATAGCCTATCGTGGTCCATGTTGGCACGCATTCATATTTAAAGCTCCACCCGATTAAAATGAAGGCTCTGCTCTTTATTTACATGTTGCCATGGTGAATCGTAGTATCTGAGCTCCACTAATTTTCATCCCCACACACACACACACACTTCCATCTGGTTCAACATACTCTGAACTAATTCTGATCTCCTGTTCTGGAACCGAAAAACTCGGGAGTTTCACATCTCAGTCAGCTCAGAGTTTATCAAACCTGCTGTCTGAAACAGGGCCCATGAGTCAAATATCTAACCTGTTGTGGGTCATGTGGCTCTTGACGAGGTGTCCAGCAGCTAGAGCGGCCATCAGGGAGAGCTCTCCTGCCAGCACGGTGGCACAAACCACGCGGGCCAGCTGGCGGGCGTTGTCACCTGGCTCGTTGGAACTGGTTCCTTTGACACCAAGCATCTAAAGGCATAAATGAATCCAGCTATTGTGTTATAGTTTTACATAAGCAAATTATAAGAGACAGATCGTTTCCTTGTAAACAAATAAGATATGTTTCCCTTTCACATTATAATGGTTTGATGATCAGCCACTTAAATGAATGCAAATCTCATCAGACTATATTCAGGTCCAGCAAGTTTATGTTCCTTTATGTGTCAGCAGTCTTAAAAAGCTTTTCTGATTCATCAAACAGTCCCTGCAGGGTCATCACCCTCCACCCCTCCAGCTCTCTACTCACTGTTACGTCTGCAGTGGTTAAAAACTTCACCAGGTCTAAATCCCAAAATTGCTTTTTTTGTCAGTTAAAATATATCGTTATTTGTTTAGGCCATCCTGCTGATGTACTTTCAATTAATTTATTAATTGAAAAACCTCGAACACGAGGATGCACAACCACCATGAAATGAACTTTTTAGAGTTTAGAGACTTGGTGGAAAAAAATTAATTTAAATAAATAAACATAACACAATCAAATAAAACTATCTCGTCCACATGTAAAACGTGTAATAAAATAAAGTATGTGCCGCATTACCTGAAGACAGGCCTGCTGCGGCGGCAGGTTGGTGCCTCCTCCCACAGTGCCCAGCTCTATGGAGGGCATGGTGCAGCTGATGTACAGGTCATCTTTTTCTGGACCAGCAGCCTCCATCTGAGTGATGCAGTTGGAGCTCCCCACTGTCTGAGCCGGGTCCTGAAACAGTACAGCAGTGTCAGTAAGTGTGGTGATAAACCGATAAATGTTTTGGGCTACGCCGAAGACCGACAAAGTGTCACACAGGTGCATTTTGATTTTTCAGGGATGTAAAATCTTGATTCTGTTAACCTGTTTTTTTATATTCATTATCTACTATTATCAAATGTGTTATATCTGCATCGAACAACCCATATTACCTACACAGGCTGTAGATACACAACCACTGATTTTAGCCCAGACTATACATTATTATAGTTTATAGTCAAATTTTATTTGGATCACCTTTCAACTTAAGAAAAAGAAAGTTTTGAAAACAAACTGCAAGTGTTGGGCATATCCGATCCATATAACGTTACAGCATCCACTGCCGCATGTCTACTGTTAAAAACCGCCAGGTCCCTGCAGTCGCTCCACTGCGGTATGTTTACGTTTGCCTTGTGTGGAATGCCTCACCTAACACAGCCCAGGGCTCGTCTCCTCCTCGATTAGTACATCCAAAAGCACAACAACCATCCAGCATTTCCAGCAACTCAAAGTAAAAGTATATCACTTGCTTATTGGTTGGCAGGCAGCAGAAAATAACGTCTTTTTGCCCTCCATGGGAACATTTTCCTTGGAATGTGACGTCACGTGAAAACTATGAATACATCACATTGGTCTCCTTTCGTCCATTACTTTTTTGTTGTTGTTTGCTATGCCGCTCTGCAGTCATACATCATGCTGCATGTTGGCCGTGACCTTTTGGACCTTTTTGAAACTGAATCAGTCCAACTGGCGAGTTTCATCATTGATTGCTATTTAGCCCTTAACACAGGGATCATGTGGGCTGATATATAGACTTAGGTTGGTAACTTCAAAAAATGTACTGCATAACATGATTTTTTAAATATTCAGAATTTCCATTTCAGGCTCTCATACCACACATTTCTGCTTCTCACACACTTTGAAGAGTAGAACTTTCTACTCTGTGAAATCACTCTAATGTCTCTAATCAAAATTCAGATTTTGTATAACAGGTACCTCTTTGGTATTTTGAGCATGCATTGGAGTCGTTGTATATAGCCCAAGTACTGTGTTGATACCAGAAGTCACTATTGTGTTAAACCTGGAATATGTGCGGTTATTTTTGTCTTTATTCTGAATCATCTGGATTATTTTGCAAAATTGTCTGTAAAATTAAGTATTTAAAGTGTTAAACATGTTGATCATTTCATTACCTGTCCACAGGCGATGTAGAGGGCTGCTACAATGTTGGCAGCATGAGCATTAAAGCCCCCGACACTGCCAGCCATGGCCGAGCCCACTAAGTTCTTGTTGATGTTCAGCTCCACCAGAGCGGCTGTACTGCTTTTCAACACCTACAGATGCATTAATGTGTTGTTTTAGTCAGAAATATCTGATTTTACAAACCAAAATAACCAGCAGCAACAAAAACTGTGGAAATTAAATAAGTAAATAAACTGTGACTTGATCCCTGACATATCACTGGTTTAAGCAAGGCCGCTTCAAATACAATCAGAAGAGTTGGGTGTTAGTTGTCTTTACCTCCCTGACCACATTGGCAGGGATGGTGGCCTCACACACAACAGATTTTCCCCGGCCCATGATCCAGTTTATGGCAGCAGACTTCTTGTCTGTGCAGTAGTTCCCACTGACGGACAGCACATCCACGTCTGGATACTGCTGCTGGAGTCTGTGAAGAGCCTTCTCGGTCCCCTGGAAAAACACAGCACACACAGACACTTCAGTATTTACAGTACTGGAGATACAAGATAACGTTGTACAGATAACAGTAAACAGAGTAAACAGACTAGAGACAGGAACAAAAGTAGCATTAAATTTGCATTGACTGCTGACTGCTACACAAGATATGGTCATACCTTGGAAAGCATGTTCATGCCCATAGCATCTCCTGTCTGAGACTGGAAGCGAATGTACAAGTTCTTCCCAGCTAAGGTCACAAACAGCTTCTCCAGACGAGCAAACCTACCAAGAGCAAAAATTCATGTATGATCTGAAGGTCCATTTTACAGACGTGACTAAAGGAAACAGAAATACCATCCATCATTCTATGAGTGTTTTCTGTCACCGTGTTTCTACTGACCTGCTGGTCTGGTCGAAAGCCTCTTTGATCGTGCCGAACCCGTCAGAGGTCTCGAGCCAGCCTTTGACCTCTGCAGCACGGCACGCCGAGGGCAGCCTCACCACAGGACCCCTGGTCATACTGTCAGCGAGGATCCTGCTGCGACAACCCTTGCTCAGCTGGACACGAAAAAACAGAGTCAGCGCACACACACACACACACACACACACACACCCCCACACACACCTAGAGACCCCTCACTTACAGAAAGCGCCCTGCATCCTCTGTTAGCGCTGGCTACCAGGCAGCCCTCTGTGGTCGCCATAGGAATGTAAAACTGCTTGTCATCCAACAGAAGAGGACCAGCCACTCCCACTGGCACTGGCACGTAGCCAATGACATTCTCACAGCAAGTTCCCATGACCTAGTAGGCAAGAACACAAATGAATATTAATACACCGTGGTTATACGCCTCCACCAACCAGTCAAGTTGCAGTTTACATCCATGTCTGTCCAGACTCATTTAAACAGTGAATACTTGTACATCTATTATCATAGATCATTTCATTTGTGCCAAATATGAAGAAATTCCCTCAACGTGTTCCTGAGATATTGTGTAAAGGGACAGTGCACATGCAAGAACATTCCAGATTAGCATCAAAGTAAATAAGGCAGATTTAGCCAGAGGGCAAATTTTTATCTGTAGTTCCTGGCAGGTTCGCAAGAATACGACAGCGTGGAGGCATGAAAAAAGCTTCAACAACACAGACACCATAAAAACACAATAAATAAGCTACACACTTAACAGATACACCTGATGCCAATACCTTAGAATAGTCGTAGTCCTTATAAGGCAGACAAGCCAAGGCAGAGCTAACAGGCAGTTTGGGTGACAGCATTTCCCTCCGGATTGCAACGCCCCTCTCTGGAGTCTCAAGGACGACTTCCAGTTTGTAGTTCTGGATGTTACGTGAGGTTACCAGATTCATCACCTCTTTATCACTAAGACAATGGGCACCTCTCTAAAAAACAACAAGAGCAAACCAGTGATTTCCTAAAACATCAGACAAATAAAAAAGAAATAAGAGATTTCTTCTGCTTTGTACCCACAGAAGATTTCTATCTGTTCTGGCAGCTTACCTGAGGATCTGAGAGGATGGCCACACATTCCTCCAGGGTCCGGGGCTCTGAATTACAGCTGCTTTGAGGAACACAAGGTGTCGGAGCAGGAGACTCCTCAAAACATGAAACACAGGGGCCGTTCTCCACCGAGGCTGCTGGAGGCTGAATCGCCTCTGCTGTAGAGGAATCGAGAGGGACAAACACATATTAAGCAACAAAGCAGTTAATTCAGAGATTCTTTTTTACATTCAAAGCTTCTATTGGAGGTTTTCAAATGAAGCTTCATGTGTCATATTTTTTGACATTACCCTAAAAAAAAATTTGAAGCAAGAGAGACAGCATCAGTGGTTGAGTAAGCTACAGAGTGAATGAACATGGGGAGTGGTGTTTGCGAGAACAAAGCAGCGAATCAGAGAAATAAAACCGAAACAATCCTACACAGTCACCACTGGAATCTATTTCTACAAATAGTATAATACTGATAATATTAGTCTACCCTAATCTTTCACCAACTGTGCAGACATACCGGGGTTTAAACAGAATGAATAGATATGCATATGTGTTTGTTTTTTTTAAATCAGTGAGTAGGGCTGGACAATAAAACAATAATTATCACAATATATTTTTTTCAATAAAAATATAACAAATGTTCAATAAATATTCAATAAATGTTTGATTTTATACACTTGAATCTACAACAAATTAGGACTAATTTTTTTTTATTATATTTGTTTATTCTGTTGAGGAAAAAGGACTGAAAAAGCTTTTACTTAATTCTACTCATGCATATTTGTTGACAAAGATTTTATCTTAATTGTTTTGTATGTTCTACCTCAGATTTGTGAAGTGATCCACTGTTTGGCCTCAAGTGTTGATCATAAAGAAGAGAGTTTAAACCACAATTAACCATCAGGGTTCTTCAACTTTCACTCAGGAGCAAAAATCAGCCTATAAACTCGACAGATAACGATTTGATACTTATGATAATTATTGATATTGAAAGATATGAAACTTTTTATTGTGATAACATTTTGGGCCATATCGTCCAGCCTTACCAGTGAGCACAGACATCATAAAGCTGACAGGGCCAATTATGTGTCACACCATTCTCTCTGAACGCCATGTCAGCCTCATGGGAAAGTTTAGACTCTGAGACAGCTGGGGTGGTAGGGTTAGTTGCTAATATACCGTTCATGGTCTTCTGGGGTTTCAGGGCCAGAAAGTCCCTCCTGCAGCAGTCCCCCACCCCCCTGGACTTCTGATTCGGAGCAGAGCTGATAATGTGACTCCTCAGGGACAGGGAAGACTCGGTCTCTGTTTGCTCAAAGAAGACGTACTTCACAGCCAGGAGCAGGGCAAGACCAAGAGTTATCACCTGTTCCAGGTCCATACTGGTAGAAGGCGAGACAAAGTCATTCACCAGAGGGTTACTGCTATGGAGCCAATAACAGGCAAATATATTTATGGAATATGCAGTCTTCCCTTTACCTGGAGAGCTTCAGAGGCAACATGGTACCATCAGATTCAAGTCTTTTAGCTATGGGCCCCTCCACCGTGCGATTTGAACCTGGATGCTCAGCTGCCAATCGAGAGTGAGCATGAACCAAGGCAAGGCCCAGAGACTGATGAAGATACCATGAAATAGACACCCCAGTTAGACTTTACATTTTTTATAATTCTTATTTTCACACCACCTTTGTTTTAAAACGGTGTATACAGTTGACTTATAAACTTTCAAATGTATTGTTGACATCTGTGGTGGCTGAATTTGGTTTCTCACCATGATTATTTTAACCCTCTGGGTCACAGGATTTGGTTTGTTGTCCTCTTCTTCAGCCAGCACACGGGCAAAGTGGCTCAGTTGCCAGATTGGACGGCCTTCACGACTTTCCCTGGACAGCTATACAAAACACATACACGCGTGCATTAACAAACACAGAAATTAATCATGAGATGCATGGAACTAATTTCCACATGCTGTCGAGACTATAATTCTACCAAATCTTCCATCTCATCCTTACCTCCAGGACCAGGGAGACACAGGCCGGGAAGAAGGTCATGAAGACAAAGTAATTGGCCAGAACAGACATGCAGCCAAAACAACACATGATCTCTAATTGAGGCACACCTGGAAAACAACAGAAAATAATACTTCTTTAATTTTCCACTCCACACTTTAAGATACAAACATTGCTGTAGTATTCCTTACCTGACATGGTGCCAACCCCAATGACCAGACACTCAACCAGAGCATCCAGTGTGAAGCTGGGGCCTAGGATAGCCATGCCTTGGGATATGTTCTCCCTCACCTCCTCCTATACACAAGAGCCATGGCACAAGTCAGCGACACTTCAAATGCATTCTTCAGTTGAATGAACAGATCTTACTTTAGTTACAGTTCACAAAAAAAACAATTGTCCAATAAAACCGATATTACCTGAGAGTTTGAGCTGAGGGCAAATTTGGCCAATGCACAAGCTTTGGACAGGTCAATGAGCAGGAGAAAGAACGGCAGGGCTTCACTGTAGGGATACAAGACAAACGTCTATCAGGGAAAGACTTTATCTACACTGCTGTTCTCCACTGCTAAGCTTTAAGACTCTTCTAGTGATTTTTTTTAATCCACCATACAAGTTGTCTTTTGCTGATCGACTGTACACACTGTGGTAACTGAGATAAGGTGACAGGACAGTCAAACACTTGCAATCTCAAGCATAAGGTAAGACTCCAACTGCTATTATAAAACTGGTAAATTTGTATTACTCAATGATCCGTTTGCTCAACAATATGTATATGTTAGCGCATTTGGGAAAACTTACTTAAGACCTGTCAGCTCTTTCCCAAAGAAGTGGATGACCACTGTACTAAAGACAAAGCTGGAAAACACTGTGAATAACCCTGCAATACCTGTAGGAAGAGAAAAAAAACTGAATGTTAACAGATTGAATATTTACTGCGTGCGGCATCGTCTTAGTAAAGCTGGGCATCATTACAGTTCAGTGCTGAACAAGCTACAACATCCTATCATACTGACCCAGTATATATTTGGATCCCAGTTGTCGCAGACTCTTAAACTGGAAATAGATGTAAATGATGGCCATGCAGCGTGTGACTGTTAGGATGATTATGTCACTGCTGTGGATCTTCTATGAGAAAACAGGCACAGACATGTCTTCTTGTTAACACTACCTGCACACTTCCCTTTCTTTGCTCTACCACACTCACACCAGCCTCCTCTCAGCCAGACTCACCTCTTTGACCTTGGGACACTCATTCCAGCTGCAAATCTGGCTGCTGGCTGCCAGGTTGTTCATAGACATGAGGCAGACGTTGAGAACGAGGGTGCCCACTATTACCTCCCACGGGTGGGAGGCCACGAGTAGGCCATGGAGCCTGAACAGACGAGCCAACATGGTCTCTGGTCGCAGCCTCACCTGTATTAAAAAAAAAGGATGAGAACATCATGCTCACAGAACGAGGCGAGGTGAGATCCACTTCATATGCATGAGCATGGCAAAGCCTCACGACTGTCTGCGCGTTTATCTGACAGCTGCAAAGACCACAATACAGCTTCGTTTTCTTGACGGCCAGCTATCATTATAGTGAAAGTTCAAACTCCGCACACTCACTCGGACGATATCTGCGTTTCATACGTAGCTCACGGTTATTATATTATATGTACGCTGACTGTTAACGTTTTTGTTGGTTAGCATTAACTTGTTAGCTACATCTTTAGCAGTAACCGACAGAGGATACACTTAACATCGGTTGGCTTTAGCTACATTAGCTCTTACACTCGGACTAACAACCAAGGTCATTTCGTCCCTCCCTGTTTTAACACTCTTATAGTTACTGTCTAATAAAACATGTTAAATCCACATACTTCCAAATGTAAGTTTCGCGGTGGTCAGACAGTCCTTTCCATTATAATACTGCCCCTTCCATAAATCGCTTAGCTCCTAAGTACTTCCTGCAGGTAACGAAACAACATGGCGGTGCGGAATACACTTAAAATACGCAACGGACGGGGCGTGGTCTTCTTCTTCTTCTTCTTCTTCTTCTGGCTTTCCGGCAGACTAGATGCCTTCCGGCACATTGCTGCTCCTCACAGTTCAGCCTCAGTATCATTTCAAGGCGCCACCATTCTCAGAGGGGTAATCCTGTTGCAGATATAGCCCAGAACTGGTTGTCATGAGGATTCAGAAGGTCTCTCAGTGTCACTGTCTGTCCTCCAAGGCCTCATAGCGCAGAACATAGCTGTTTGTTTTCATTCCATATGTACATGTTTAACACGCTGCTGTTGTTGTTTGCAGGTTCTACAGAGTCCATCCTCATGTTTGCCCATCTTTGCCAGATCCCATGCAAGTCATAATTAGTTTCTTCCCACAAGCCATCACTCTGATGAACAGCTGATTTCTGCCTCAGAGTATCAGGAACAATCTCTGTGCAATAACCCAGTAACTCTGTCTCTAATCAGTCACCTGTTTACTCGTTACCACTTATTATTTATTCATTATTTTCTATTTCAGAGCTGTTCATATTGTCATTTTGTATATTGTATATACTGAATACCAAATCCACCTACCACATGTAAATAACACCTGCACATAATAGTTATTTATTTCAGCATCCTTTGCACTGTGCTCCATCACACTGTGTACATGAGTACATGTATGCATGTATGTGTACCTTTATATCTCATCCACCTCCAACATCTTCATAATAATGATAATAATTTTACTCCTGCTTCCTTTTTACTCTGCTCATTGCAATATTGTCTCAATCTGTCTATATTGTTTTTGTTTAGTGTGCGTATATATGTGTTCTTTATAGCCTACTGTTGCCTGTGTGTGATTTTAATATTGTTTTATTGTATTGTAAGTTAGCACATCCTTAGCAATGTACAATCATGTGAAAATATTAGGAATGCTAGAAAATACTAGTCTCTATTCATTCAACTTACACTGTAAATTTCCAGCTAAACTTACCCTTATTGCTGCTGACCCTTTTCTTTCTGTCTCTCTTTCTCTCTCTCTTTCTCTCTCTCTCTCAAGCCATTCACCGGTCCTGTGCAGAGTTTTGCGTGCATGCCGTGCTGCCAACAACTGCATGCACGTCGCGGTTCCTCGCGGGTCTATTTCAAGGAGCCGGCTATTTAAAAACGATATAATATTCTTTTTGTGGTTCACCAACGGTGATAAGTTATCCGAAAGTCCAGCAAGCTGAGGCTCTGTTTCTTCAGCAAGTGTTACCTCTTCCACCACTACATACACGCTACGCCTACACATGCGCACTGACGACCCAGGGTTAGGATTACAATTTTCGATTTATTCACGCACTTTAAAAACATTTATTGAAAGTTTTTTTCTTTTTACATGTTGGGAGAAAACTGGTAGTTCTATGTAAAATCAGATGTTGAGCACCCCCATATCTCCAAAATGGCATGATCCTTGTTTCGCTGCGAAGCTTCCACGGTGAGATTGACAGTCGAATCAGACTCCGCCCATCGAAGCATCCAATCTTCGACTATTGGGGGTCTAGAAAATACCTTTGTACAGTCTATGGAAAATCCTAGAGAAAATAAGTAGGCCTACTTCATAATAAATGTATTAATTCTAATGGCAAAATTACACATTCATAAGTGTAAATTCTGCAGTTTAAAACCTAACTTCGTACTTTTCTCCATGAGGTTGTGCATTATGTCAATTTAATTTCTGAATCCAACAACAAAAAGGCTGTGAAAATTGTCGACATATCGTACTCATTTAATATCTTTATATAATATAGACTACCCCTGGCAAAGTTTTTGTTGTTATTATTGGTGTCTTATATATTTATATACTGTCATCTATACCTCTCTATGTCACATGTAAACTGTATTCCTCTAGTTGCAATAAAGTTTTTTTTTAAAAGACATTCAGTTTAATTCAGTTTGTTTATATAGCGCCAATTCATAACGAATGTCATCTCATTGCACTTTTCATATAGAACAGGTCTAGACTGTACTCTGTTTAATATTATTTACAGAGACACAACAGTTCCCACTAGGGTTGTCACCTTCAATACAGAAAAAATAGGGACTCCCCGGCAACAACAGGCCCGATGGTGTGCCAGTGGTGGTAGCCTATATCATAACTTAAAACATGTTTTCAGGAAAGTATTAAGATTGACACCCATGGACATTATAATAAGCTATCTGCTTTTGAAATCAGTGTGAACGGATGAACTCTCTCTATCACAACAGACTAGTGGTCATATTGTCATAGCTGAATACACAGCTACGACAATAATAGACATGTGTGACAGTGAGACCACAAAAAATAGGATGTGAACTTTATTTTATTAACTTATTAAATCAACATGTCCATAATTTATGAACTATAAATAGGCTAAAACAAATGCTTTGATATGATTTGATTGAAAAGACTTTTGCAAAGGATTTTCCATGAACATCACAAACATCAGTGGACCAGAAGTAGTAGGCCTTGTGTGCAGTATTGGAGCATGTTAGGCCTACTTCCTTTTATAAATGTTTTCTTGTCAGAAGTACACTATTCGTGTGGCAGCATTGAGTAGCTGTTAGTCATTCAAGCTGCTACAGTAAAACTATGAACAGGAAATACTCCACAGTTCCACAGAGCACCTGTTCTTGCTGAGAAATTCCTAATGAACTTGAGTAATTGTAAAGGGTGGTGTGAACACTTTAATACTATCCAAACAATGAAAACACCCATAATGGGCTAGTTGTTTATATTATTCACATAGGCACTATATTGATAATTAAATGTGTATTAAATAGCCTGTATCTCACTCTTATCTCTTATTAAATTAATGCTTTTGTGTCTGACAGTAGGCTATACATATATAATGTCGGCATGTGATTCATTTACATTGTCACAATATTTCTTAAAAAATAGGCAGCGTGTGAAATCCAGAGTAATCAATCAGAAAATTAGTAGGCACTTTGGCTTGATAGCCTAGCCTACTCATCAAGTAGGGCAGGCTATTTGATTTCTCCCACTCTCGTCATCGGTACTTTTGCATCCGCTGTAATTTCAGAGGGGACACGGGGGGATTCTCGAGCAGCCTCCACCGTTGTTTCAGCTTGACTCCTTGCCTAGACACCCGCCCTTGACTCCGATAGGCCCTGAACCTGACGTTAGCCTATTAATCAAACCATCCATCAAGTATGACCCAATCAAAGGTAGAAAAGGAGGGGCGAGTTCAACCTCAAAACGTTTAGGACCGGTTTGCAATATGCAATATGTTTCCTTGCAATGTTGCAACAGGCTTCGAGGTAGGCCTATGTTTTCTCCCGTTTGGTGGCCATGTCTCAGGTGTTAGCCTACCCAATCAGCTGTGACAAGTTTGTAAACACAACAGTGTTAAGAATGCCCAAGAAGTCTTCACAGAGTGCGGGTGGGATGATTTGCAGGTGATGCTGCGTTAAAGACAACTCGGAAGTAAGATACAAACAGAGTCCCGTATTGATTCAAAACGGGACACGCTATTTAGTTCTCAAATACGGGACGATTCCATATTTTAATGGACAGGGGCAACCCTGCGCGAGAACCTGGCTTCACAGGCAAGGAAAATTTTCCTTTTAAGAGCTATTCAAGGAAGGTTAAAGTCAAGGGCAAATGGACTTCGTTGAAGATAGGCTACTCAAAAACATTTTGCCCCTCATCCAAGACACTTTTTCAGTTCTGACTGACTGGCCAACGAACCTTTGGGCCGGTGAAACATAAATTATTTATAACTGTTAGCCCATAAAGCACGGACAGCGGCCCATTGGGTAATTTTCTATACTAGACACTGGGCTGGCCCAATCACATCTCTTACTGGCCTCCATCCCCTCCCCCTTGGCCATCTGTTTCTTGCTTGCGGGTCAAAAAAATATTATCAGATGGATGAATGCGCAAAAATAACAAATGAAAATTCCTGAGACTCATTGCCAGATTATTCATAAACTTCTCGTGGTTGAGTACTTCAGGCCAACTTTGGCTCTTGCGTATTTAGTTGGCTTCGAGTGAGTTCTCTGTCTGGACTAGGACTAACATTTTTGTGTTTTTTTCAAGATACCTGCACCTGTTACCCGGAGGATCTTTTGGAAAGCTGCCCAGGACGTTCTGTCCCTGCTCACACCTCGCCCTTTTCCATGCTGTTCTACTAGTTACTCAGTTCTTTGTGAATAAAACTCTTGACTTTAACCCGCCTCGAGTGTTCTGTGTCCGCACCCCAGCCCACAGTCCCACAATACATCTGCAAAACACCTGCAAGGCAAAGTAAATAGATAACAAACATCTGCGTTGCCCCAAAAAAGTAACTTAAGATTGATTCCTGCATTATATTCTGTAATATTTTTATATTCTGATTTGTCAATATCGCTCAATATAAATAAAGACATTTTTACCATAAATTAGAAAATATCTCCAGAATGCATGAAATTAAGTGTTTAATGGTCAAAATCCCCCAGATGTTTCGTTACACCCCTAATCTTGGCCCTTAAATGTCCCCACCTCTTTTCAACACAAAGTGATGCCCTTGGTTAGGGTGTGTGCCATGCCATAGTGACAATGATGATGATGATGATTAGTTCAATTAATAGTGAGACTGTATAAGCTATTTGACATTGTTTTTGTAGCTAGCAGTTTCCTAATGCAGTCTTAACTTTGGCTAACTGTCCTAATGGCTGAGATGAGGTTATTTTGTCCCACGCTGCTGTGAAAATGACTTGTACGCTACTTGTACTTGTGTACTCCATAGCCGCCTCTGATCACCAGTGACTCAGTAAATGAGTGTGAGTGAGTACACTGATTCAGTTGCACTGGTACACTTCTCCACGGCACATAGGCCTACCACTCAGCTGGTTTGGGGGAATACTACAGGAGGTACACATTTAATATGGAAAGATGGTGTATTGGTGAGGGGTGTACGGCCAATTTTGGTGGGCCGCCTGCGCCAAAAATGCCTGGGCTGATTTTCTTTTCCCAGTCCAGCCCTGACCAACACTACGGGGTATGAGGAAAAGAAGAT